TCTGTCTTTTGGTTAGTTTGGACAGAGGTTTGTCTATTTTGTTGATTTTCTCAAAGAACCAACTCTTTGTTTCATTGATTCTTCTCAGTGTTTTCCTGGTTTCTACTTGATTGATTTCAGCCCTCAATTTGATTATTTCCTGGCGTCTGCTCCTCCTGGGGGAGCTTGCTTCTTTTTGTTCTAGAACATTCAGCTGTGCTATTAATTCTCTAGTATGACTGTTCTCCAGTTTTTTCATGTGGGCACTTAGTGCTATAAACTTTCCTCTCAGCACTGCTTTCAAAGTGTCCCATAAGTTTGTGTATGTTGTGTCTTCATTCTCATTGAAATCGAGGAAGTCTTTAATTTCTTTTTTTATTTGTTCCTTTACCCAGGGATGGTGCAATTGTGCATTGTTCAATCTCCATGAGTTTGTAGGGTTTCTGTGATTTGTGTTATTGTTGAATTCTAATGTTAATGCATGGTGGTCTGATAAGATGCAGGGGGTTATTCCAATTTTTTTGTATCTGTGGAGATTTGCTATGTTTCCTATTATGTGGTCAATTTTAGAGAAGGTTCCATGTGGTGCCGAGAAGAAGGTATATCCCTTTGTATTTGGGTGGATTGTTCCATAGATGTCTGTTAAACCCAGTTGGGTCATAACTTCTATGAATTCTTTTGTTTCTTTGTTAAGTTTCTGTCTGGAGGTCCTGTCTAGCGGTGAGAGCGGAGTGTTGAAGTCTCCTACTATTAGTGTGTGAGATTTTATGTGCATTTTGAGCTTTAGTAATGTTTCTTTCACGAATGTAGGTGCCTTTGTATTTGGGGCGTAGATGTTTAAAATCGAGACTTCGTCTTGATGTATTTTTCCTTTGATGAATATGAAGTGCCCTTCTTCATCTCTTTTGATTGATTTTAATTTGAAGTCTAATTTGTTAGATATTAGGATTGCTACGCCCGCTTGTTTCTTGGGGCCGTTTGATTGGAAGATCTTTTCCCAGCCCTTTACTCTGAGATAACGTCTGTCTTTGGTGTTGAGATGTGTTTCTTGTATGCAGCAGAAGGAAGGGTTCTGTCTTCATATCCATTCTGCTATTCTGTGTCTTTTTATAGGCAAGTTGAGGCCGTTGACATTGAGGGATATTAATGACCATTGATTGGTGATCCTTGTTTGCGCTTGATTTATTGTTAGTGAAGTTATTTTGTGTAGTTTCTCCTCCCTTTTTCTTTTGGTGTTTTGTAAAGTATGATTATATATTGCCTGTGTCTTTGTGAATGTAGTTATCTTCCTTGGCTCTAGGTTTTCCTTCTAGCATTTTCTGTAGAGCTGGATTCATGGATACGTATTGTTTAAATCTGGCTTTGTCATGGAATATTTTGTTTTCTCCATCTATGGTAATTGAGAGCTTTGCTGGATATAGTAGTCTGGGCTGGCATCCTTGTTCCCTTAGCGTTTGTAGGACATCTGACCAGGATCTTCTGGCTTTCATCGTTTCCATTGAGAAGTCAGGTGTAATTCGGATATGTCTGCCTTTGTATGTTACTTGGCCTTTTTCTTTAGCTGCTCTTAATATTTTCGCTTTACTCTGTAGGTTTGATGTTTTGATTATTATATGGCGAGGTGACTTCTTTTTCTGGTCAAGCCTATTTGGTGTTCTGTAAGATTCTTGTACTTTCATAGGCATATCTTTCTTTAGGTTAGGGAAGTTTTCTTCTATGATTTTGTTGAATATGTTTTCTGTACCTTTAAGTTGAAGTTCTTCACCTTCTTCTATACCTATTATTCTCAGGTTTGGCTTCTTCACGGTGTCCCATATTTCCTGGATATTTTGTGTTAAGGATTTGTTGGTTTTGAGATTTTATTTGGTTGACGACTCTATATCCTCTAATGAGTCTTCAACACCTGAGATTCTCTCTTCTATCTCTTGTATTCTATTGGTGATACTTGCATCTGTAGTTCCAGACCGTTTACCGAGCTTTTCTATTTCCAGCATCCCTTCATTCTGTGTTTTCTTTATCATTTCTATTTCAGCTTTCAATCCTTCAACTGTTTGAGCTGTTTCCTTAATTTTCTTGGTTGTTTTTTCTTGGTGCTCTTTAGATTCTTTGAGAGATTTGTTTATTTCTTGAATTTTCCCCCATTTCATGGATTTTTTTGTTTGTTTTTTCTTCTATTTCTTTAAGGGATTTCCTCGTTTCTTCTTTGAGGGTCTCCATCATCTTCATGAAATAATTTTTAAGGTCTGTCTCCTCTTCTTCATCTATGTAGTGCTTTTCAGGTCTTGCTGGTGTTGGATCCCTGGATTCTGGTGGGGTCATGTTGGTGTTTCTATTGCTGGGTGATCTCTTATTCTGTCTTATTCCCATCTCTTCTTCCAGTGGGTGCTGGTGGGGGTCTTTCCGTCTCCACTGGTCTCCTTCCTTACTGCAGCTGAAGCTGGGGATGCTGAAGCTGGACTCGCTGGGGTTGGAGTCTTGGAGGGGCTGATCTCTTTCCTGTGTGGGCGGGCCTTCTGGATGCCGGGAGCAGCCCAGAAGATCGCGGGGGATGGGTGATGGGTGGGCGGTCCTCCCCGCCTGAGACCCAATCCCACCTGAAGCTGGACTCCCTGGGATTGGGGTCTTGGAGGGGCTGATGTCTTTCCTGTGTGGGCGGCTCTTCTGGAAGCCGGGAGCGGCCCCGAAGATGGAGGGGGATGGGTGATGGGCGGGCGGTCCCCGCTGGAGACCCAATCTCACCTGAAGCTGGACTCGCTAGGGTTGGGGTCTTGGAGGGGATGATTTCTTTCCTGTGTGGGCGGCTCTTCTGCGGTGTCCTACATTTCTTATGTGATCCAAGGAAGAAAAAAATGCTATAGTGAATGAGCAAACAGAATATGGTGTCTCCATGTAATAGGAAAAAAAAAACACAGAACCTGGGTAAAGAGGAGATCTTGACTTTATGTTATTTCCTAATTGTCCCCTTTTGATATTGGTACAGTAGAAACTACCTCTACCACAACAACAGAAAGACAAAACACTCCATCTATGCTAACAGGAAAATCCCTAAACAGAGAAATTGAAGTGAGAGGTACTGAGTTTGAGGACAGGTGTTAGAGGAATATTGTTTAAGGAATCTACATTTTCCTGAAAGCAGATAAAATCTTCCTGGAGGTCTATTTGGTGATGTTTGCATAACAATGATTGTTCCCCTAAGGCCACTGAGATTTATATCTATAACTGTAAATGTTGAAATTTCAGGTGATGCATGTGTTATTGAATGAAAATATTGACAGGTCTGATGGTACTTGGCTATGGTGTTCAACTTAACTCGAGAAGAAAAAATGTCAGTTTCATGAGACCATGCACACTAGGACTTATATTTCCCTTCTCACTTTGGTCTTGAATAACACTTATGATATGGAGTCACCTCTCCATCCTTGGGCTTCTTCTGAGATCTAGCTGTGTTGCTCTGTGACACTGAAAAAATGCACACCAAAGTTAGTGTTCTCATATGATCCCATTGTGCCTGTAGACCAAACATGAACTGCAAGGGTAGACTATGCTGACTGCCTACTCCATGGTGGCAACCCAAACCTCTTATTCTAAACTAAGTTCTGAGCTGAAATGCTACACAGCTTCTCCAGGAAACACCCTAACCTCAAATTTGAGCTACTGTTGAGATAAAATGGCAGGCTATTGTGTGATCCACAGCCTAAAGGTTGATTCTGTAATTTCCTCTGTAAAGGTCCCCATGGTCCAGAGGAATAAGCACACATCCACCCCTCCAGTAAAGGTGAGATCATATCTCATTAGGAGCCTAGAGGCCCGGTTACTCTCATAGCCAATCAGAAGAAGGGAAACATTGAAGGACAAGGCTGACTATCCAGAGACTTGGGATTTAAAGCCTGAGTAAGGTGTTGTTCTACCAGATCCTGACACCTCAACAACCTCTGAAGAGCTTCTGGAGTGCACTGAAGAAACAGCAGCTACCACAGGTGAGGCCCTGCTTCTACCAAGGCAGAAAGGGAATTGCCCTTATAGTAGAAGCCCTGAGACTCCATGTAGAATCAGGCAGACCTCCAGGAATGAGACTGTCTTCTCAACCTAAGCAGCCCTTGCTGTGTGGAGGTAGAAACGGATGAGGAAGCCAGAGAGAAAACCAGACCCCCAAAACATGTCCAGGTCTGTATGGGTTCCAATTCACTGCAAGTGTGGTCCTGGCCAGAGACAGCGTGAGCTGATACCATGCATACCTGGATCATGCTTATCTCATCCTGAGCCTGCAGAGATCATTGTATTACATACACATCAATGCTGGATAAATGTTTTGTTTCTCAATTAACATGTGCAGAATGAGTAGCAGGTGGCATGCCACTTGTCAGTTCTCATAGGGAATGTTGCTCAAGAAATCCAGCAAAGCCTGAACCTGGGATTTCAGGGTGTCTTTATCCACTGTGTCTCTGGCTTCCCCTGGCTTCTCCATTTGAGATTTTTCCCCCTCATCAGTGTCACGAATGTGGTGTAAACTCCCAATGGTCTGAAAGATTGCTAGAAATGTGATGTTTTTCCCATATTTTCTAAAAAGGACAGCCTAGAAATTTGCCACTCAAGAGAGGGGAGCCCACATTCTCTTCTGTGTTAAGGGATTTCATGCAATGTGATCTCAATTTCTGGGGAGAACTTGTACTTAGGATCAGATGCCACATAAGAGAAGACTTTTTATCATTACAAATCCTAGGTCCTTTCTGTCCAAGTTCTTAGTTATGTGACCTGTTGAATTTTGACGTGCACGATCATTTTTTGTGATCATGTCAATGTGCAGTATATGGATATTTCCATGAGTTTCTAGAAATTTTCACATATGCCCTGCAATTTTATGTAAATGCTAAATGCCAACCGTGGCATCTCTAGTCCAAAATCTTTGAGTAAATACTTGGGAGAGTGGTTAGAATAATTTAATCCTGCATAGATAGTTTAGTTTCTTAAGAGTGTTGTTGTATTCTCCCATTCATTTCCTTCTCTCTGTAGGTACTTGAGACATGATTCTTGCTGTCCTCGTGGGCTTCCTGTACTTGGGAGTGGCCTCAGCTGCTCCAACACCAGATTACAGTTTGGATGCCGAATGGGAGGAGTGGAAAAGGAGCAATGATAAAACATACAGCCAAGTAGGTCACATGGACACCCAAAGAGGGTCCTCGTAGAGCATGGCCATTGCGGTTGGGGGTTCATGGTTATGCTTGAGGCCATAGATGGCACCCTTACCTGAGGTATTAATGTAACACAGGATAAACACTATCTCTGCTCATCAATGTGTTGAGAATGGCTTGCTTTAGAGTCCCAAAAATACCTCTCCACAACCTGTATGACTAAGCAGCAGCGAGTCTACTTGGTCAGGTAGTGCGGGGTTATAATTAGAAGTAAATGCCATTCATTATGTTTATTTCCAGGAGGAAGAAAGGCAGAGGAGAGCAGTATGGGAAGAAAATGTGAAAATGTTCAAACTGCTCAATATGGAGAATGGCCTGGTGATTAACAACTTCACTGTAGAGATGAATGAATTTGGTGACATGGTGAGTGTGGCTTAAATTGTGTTGTAGTCTGCTTTTTTCTCTTCTATTGTTTGAATGGAAACTTTATGTATCTTTCCTTGAAGACTGGTGAGGAAATGAGGAAAATGATGATGGAGAGCTCAGTTCTGACTCTAAGGAATGGGAAACGCATCCAGAAACGAGGAGATGTCAAATTTCCCAAAACTTTGGATTGGAGAACACAAGGCTATGTGACTCCTGTGCGGAGGCAGGTATGACAACATCACATGATTGACTTCTGCAACTACTGCAATGGGACTAGTTATTGACTCATCTGTCTTATTTTATAACTTGAAGCCACAGTTACTGTCCTTACCATTCTGCTACTAGTAACAAATAGCTTTGTTATCCAAGGGAAGGAGGAATCCCTGATCCATGCCTTGGCAATTATAGGGATCATGCAGGTGTAGTAGAATGTATACATTTCTAAGTATACTTACTCTTAAACCTCCATCTAGTGACCCCCCTTTATCTCTCTCCAGACTTAATTTCTCCCATTATTAACATTTCTTACACCTGGCATCCAATAGATCACAGTCTCATGTACATCTGTGTGTGACTGTGTGGTTACCCATTGGGGCAAAAGACACCTCCCCACAGAGACTGACCCTTCCTGCTTAGGCATCCGTCAAAAGAGAATAGCTCATTTTTGATAAAGTACTCCTCTTGAGTTGCTGCAGTTAATGTTTTTTTGTTGGTGACAATATTTCTTTTCCATTCAGCTAGGTTGTGGTGCTTGCTGGGCTTTTGCTGTGGCTGGTTCCATAGAAGCACAGCTGTTCAAGAAAACAGGCAGACTGATCCCACTGAGTGTACAGAACCTAGTGGACTGTTCTACACCTTATGGCACTGATGGCTGTAAAGGGGGCAGAATCTATAATGCCTTCCAGTATGTGAAGTACAATGGAGGTCTGGAGGCTGAGGCAACCTATCCCTATGAAGCAAAGGTAAGTAGGCTACCCGGGTTGTCTTCTTTGTTCATCTGCGGTAGAGGAAAATTGCAGAAAAAAATGCATTGCCTACAGAGCTCACATTGAATGCAGAGTTTTCCACACCACCAGTGCTGCCATTAGAGTGTCTACCCCTGTATGGTTGTCTGAATCCACGATTCCATGTAGGTTGTTCTTGCTTTTATGCACATGGAGAATGTGCAAACCTTTCCACGCATAATGCAGATTTCCACACCATGAAAATTTCTTGTGGATAGGACGACCTATGAGGTGTCATTGAAGACAGGAGAGCTGATTTCCTGTTCCAAATCTTCCAGGAACATTTCACTTCCTGGGATGATTATAACAGATGTGGGAGTGGTCCAGTGCAAACTACCCAGTATTGTGGTTCTTACTGTCCAGAAGGCAGATGGTAGTAAGCAAACCTCTTAACTCTTTGCTTTTCAAAGGATGGAAAATGCAGGTACAGCCCTGAACGCTCTGTTGTTAAGATCGACCGCTATTTGATTGTCCCAAGGAATGAAGAAGCCCTACTGAATGCGTTAGTGACCAATGGGCCCATTGCCGTTAGAATTGATGGTGCACATGCATCTTTTCGTAGATATACAGGAGGTAAGTATGTGTTTTTCTAGATATATATGAAGAATTCTTGTGACCCTTCGGGACATGCCAGGTTGATATCCTAATAGTGTATAAAATTTGATGTGGGTATTTGGGCTTGTAAGTTTTACACTTGTTAATGCGTTCATCATGTGTGTTGTTTCCTAGGGACATGACATACCTATGCATCGGAGTACTTCGTTACTTGCCATATTATTTAGCTTCATTTACACACGTTTCTCTACTTGATATATATTAAGATATGGAGCCATTTCATTCGTAGAAAGATGAGTGACTTGAATTAAGAAATGAATGTTTAGTTTCTGTCCATTTAGTGTGATGTTGGCTGTTGGTTTGCTGTATATAGCTTTTATTATGTTTAAGTATGTTCCTGTTATCCCAGATCTCTCCAAGACCTTTATCATGAAGGGGTGTTGAATTTTGTCAAAGGCTTTTTCATCATCTAGTGAGATGATCATGTGAGTTTTGTTTTTCAGCTTGTTCATTTGGTGGATTACATTGATGGATTTCGTATGTTGAACCATCCCTGCACCCCCTGGGATGAAACCTACTTGATCGTGGTGAATGATTGTTTCGATGTGTTCTTGGATCTGATTTGCCAGTATTTTATTGAGTATTTTTGCATCAATGTTCATGAGTGATATTGGTCTGATGTTTTCTTTCTTAGTTGTATGTTTGTGTGGCTTGGGTATCAAGGTTATTGAAGCCTCGTAGAAAGATTTTGGCAAAGACCCTTCTGCTTCTATTGCATGGAATACTTTGAGAAGAATTGGTATAAGGTGTTCTTTGAATCTCTGGTAGAATTCTGCGTTGAGGCCATCTGGACCTGAACTTTTTTTTGGTTGGGAGACTTTTGATGACTGCTTCTATTTCCATAGGGGTTATAGGTCTATTTACATTGCTTATCTGTTCTTGATTTAGTTTTGGCAAGTGATAGCTATCCAGGAAGTTGTCCATTTCCTTTAAATTTTCGAACTTTGTGGAGTACAGGTTTTCAAAGTATGACCTGATGATTCTCTGAATTTCCGCGGAGTCCGTTGTTATGTCCACCTTTTCATTTCTGATTTTGTTAATTTGCATGTTCACTCTCTGCTGTTTGGTAAGTTTGGACAAAGGTTTGTCTATCTTGTTGATTTTCTCAAAGAACCAACTCTTCTTGCATTGGTTCTTTGTATTGTTTTCCTAGTCTCTACTTCATTGATTTCAGCCCTCAATTTGATTATTTCTTGGTGTCTATTCATCTTCTGGGAGTTTGCTTCTTTGTGTTCTAGAGCTTTCAGGTTTGCTGGTAATTCTCTAGTATAACTATTCTCCAGTTTCATTGTGTGGGTACTTAGTGCTATGAACTTCCCCCGTAGCACTGTTTTCAAAGTGTCCTATAGGTTTGGGTATGATGTGTCTTCATTCTCAGTGAATTCTAGGAAGTCTTTAATTTTTTTTATTTCTTCTTTGACCCAGAAATGGTGCAGTTGCGCATTATTCAATTTCCACAAGTTTGTAGGTTTTCAGCAATTTGTGTTGTTGTTGAGTTCTAATTTTAAAGCATGGTAGTCTGATAAGATGCATGGAGTTATTCCAATTTTTTGAAGCTGCTGAGGTTCAATATGTTGCCAAGATTTTTGGTTTAGTATCATATGGTGGTGAGAAGAAGGTATATTCTTTTTTTATGTGGATGAAATGTTCTATAGATGTCTGTTAATCCCAGTTGGGTCATTACTTCTATTAGACCCTTTGCTTCTTTGTTGAGTTTCTGTCTGGTATTCCTGTCTAGTGGTGAGAGTGGTGTGTTGAAATCTCCCACTATAAGTGTGTGGGGCTTTATATGTGATTTAAGTGTTAGTAATGTTTCTTTTATGAATGTGCATGCTTTCATATTTGGGGCATAGATATTCAGGATAGACACTTCATCTTGGTGGATTTCTCCTGTGATGAGTATGTAATGACCTCCTTCATCTCTTTTGATTGATTTTATTTTAAAGTCTAATTTGTTAGATATTAGGATTATTACCCCCACTTGTTTCTTGGCTCCATTTGATTGGAAAATTTTTTCCCAACCTTTAACTCTCAGGTAATGCCTGTCTTTGAGGGTGAGGTGTGTTTCTTGTATGCAGCAGAAGGAAGGGTTCTGTCTTCGAATCCATTCTGCTGGTCTGTGTCTTTTTATGGGTGAGTTAAGGCCATTAATATTGAGGGATATTAATGACCATTGATTGCTCATCCTTCTTCGATTTGCAATGGTTGGTGGTGGTGGAATTATGTGTGGAATTTCACCCCTTTGTTCTTTTGGATGTTGGTAGAGATGGATTCTCTAATGCCTATGTTTTTCTGGTTGTAGTTAGTTTCCTTAGGTTGGAGTTTTCCTTCCAAAAGTTTCTGTAGGGCTGGGTTAGTGGATAAGTATTGCTTGAATCTAGTTTTGTCATGGGATACCTTGTTTTCTCCATCTATAGTGATTGAGAGCTTTGCCGGGTATAGTAGTCTGGGCTGGCATCCATGGTCTACCATAGTGTTGGTAGAATATCTATCCAGGACCTTCTGGCTTTCTGAGTTTCCAGGAAGAAATCAGGTATAATTCTGATAGGAATGCCTTTATATGTTACTTAGCCTTTTTCCTTTCTTTATTCTTTATATTTGGGGTCTTGTTTATGAAGTGGCGAGGGGACTTTTTTTTGGTGCCACTCTATTTGGTGTTCTGTAAGCTTCTTGTACCATCATTGGCGAGTTTTTCTTAGGTTGGGAAAGTTTTCACTATGATTTTGTTGAATATGTTTCCTGGTCCTTTGTGGTGGTTTTCTTCCCCTTCTTCTATACCTATTATTGTTAGGTTTGGTCTTTTCATGGTGTCTCATATTTCCTGGATGTTTTGTGTTAAGGATTTTTGGACTTAAGATTTTCTTTGGTTGATGAATCCATTTCTCCTAATGTACTTCAACACCTGAGATTCTCCCTTCCATCTCTTTTATTCTGTTGGTAATGCTTGTATAGGTAGTACCTGATCATTTGCCCAGCTTCTCTATTTCTATCCTTTCTTCAGATTGTGTTTCTTTATTTGTTTATTTCAGTTTTCAATCCTTGCATTGTTTGAATTGTTTCTTATCATTTTCTGTTTATCTTTTTGTCCATTTGTTGCATTTTATGAATTTTTTGGTTTGTTTTTTCTTCCATTTCTTGGATTTTTCGTTTGTTTTTTCTTCCATTTCTTGCATTTTTTGGCTTGTTTTTTTTCATCCATTTCTTTGAGGGATTTTCCTTTATCCTCTTTTAGGGCCTCTATCATTTTCATGAAGGTGGTTTTAAGGTCATTGTCTTCTGCTTCATTTGCATTGCAATGTTGGAGTCTTGCTGGTGTGTAGTCTCTAGAATCTGGCGGTGTCATATTTGTTTTTCTGTTGCTTATTGAGATTTTTTAATGTCTCTTTTATATCTGTTCAAGTGGGTGCAGAAACTCAACACATTTCCCATAAAATCAGGAACAAGACAAGGCTGTCCACTCTCTCCATACCTTTTAAACATTGTACTTGAAGTTCTAGACAGAGCCATATGACAACAAAAGGAGATCAAGGGGATACAAATTGGAAACGAAGAGGTCAAACTTTCACTATTTGCAGATGCTATGATAGTTTACATAAAAGATCCAAAGAACTCTAGCACGGAACTCTTACAGCTGATTAACACCAACAGGAAAGTGGCAGGCTATAAGATCAACTCAAGAAAATTAGTAGCCCTACTATATACATATGATAAAAGGGCTGAGAAAGAAATCAGAGAAACATCACCCTTTACAATTGCTACAAACAACGTAAAATACCTTGGGGGAACGCTAACCAAACAAGTGAAAGACCTGTATCGCAAGAACTTTGAATCTTTAAAGAAAGAAATTAAAGAAGCCCTCAGAAAATGGAAATATCTCCCATGCTCTTGGAGAGGTAAGATCAATGTAGTAAAAATGGCAATCCTGCCAAAAGCAATCTACAGATTCAATGCAATCCCTATTAAAATCCCAGTACTATTCTTCACAGACCTGAAAGAACAATCATCAATTTTTTATGGAAAAACAAAAGACCCAGGATAGCCAAAACAACCCTGTTCAACAAGGCAATGTCCGGAGGCATCACCATCCCTGACTTCAAGCTCTATTATAGAGGTATAGCCCTGAAAACAGCTTGGTATTGGCACAAAAATACACAGGTAGATCAATGGAATTACATAGAAGACCCTGATATTAATCCACATATGTATGAACATCTGATCTTTGACCAAGAAGCTAAAAATATACAATAGAATAATGAAAGCATCTTCAACAAATGGTGCTGACATAACTGGAGGCTGGCATGTAGAAGAATGTGAATCAATCCATGTTTATTGCCATGACAAAACTTAAGTCCAAATGGATCAAACTCCTCAACATAAATCCAGCCAAACTGAACCTCTTAGAAGAGTAAGTGGGTGGTACCCTTGAAGGAACTGTGCAGGAGATAGCTTCCTGAACATAACACCAGTAGCACAGACAGTGAGATCAACAATTAATAAATGGGACCTCCTGAAACTGAGAAGCTTCTGTAAGGCAAAGGACACAGTCAGGAAGACAAAAGGCAGCCCACAGAATGGGAAAAATATTCACTAACCCCACATCTGACAGATCGCTGATCTCCAAAATTTACAAAGAACTCAAGAGGCAAGTCTCCAAAACACCAAAGGATCCAATTAAAAAGTGGGCTGTAGAACTAAATAGAGATTTTTCAGTAGAGGAGTCTAAAATGGCTGAGAGGCACTTGAGAAAGCACTCAACATCCTTAGCCATCCAGGAAATGCAAATCAAAACAACTCTGAGATACCATCTCACTCCTGTCAGAATGGCTAAAATCAAAAACACAAATGACAATTTATGCTGGAGAGGATGTGGTGAAAGGGGGACTCTCCTCCATTGCTGGTGGGAGTGCCAACTTGTTCAACCAGTTTGGAAATCAGTATGGAGCTTCCTCAGAAAAATGGGAATAAACCTACCACAAGACCCAGCAACTCCACTCTTAGGCATATATCCAAAAGTTTCCCATTAATACAACAAGAATGTCTGTTCTACTATGTTCAGAGCAGCATTATTTGTAATAGCCACAACTTGGAAGCAACCTAGATGCCCCTCAACTGAAGAGTGGATAGAGAAAATGTGGTACATTAACACAATGGAGTACTATTCAGCAGAAAAAAACAATGTAATCCTGAGATTTGCAGGCAAATGGATGACACTAGAAGAAACCAGTCACAAAAAGAGAAACATGGCATGTACTCTCTCATATATGGATTTTAGACCTATATCTGTGGAGTGCCAGCCTACAATCCCATGGCCAGATAGTCTGGGAAACAACCTTCATTCATTGGCTGATGGAAGCAGAGGCAGACTCCCATGGCTAAGCACTGAGCTGAACTCAAGGAACCCAGTTATAGAGAGGGAGGCCAGATGACCAAAGAGATTAAGACTGGGCTTGTTTAACTCCCAGAAACAGCTGACCTGAATGGGATAGGTCTTGAATCCCAGACTGATGCCTGGGAATCCAGCATGGGACTGATCAAGACCCCCTGAATGTGGGTGTCAGTGAGGAGGCCTCAGGAATCTATTGAGCCTTGGGCAGTAGATCAGTATTTATCCCGGGTATACAAATGGACTTTGGACTCCCTTCCATCAATGTGAGATGCACTCTCACCCTGAACTCTTGGGGAGGGTCTAGGCCCTGCCCTGGATGAAATGACAAACTATGGACACCCCATGGAGGGCCTCAACCTCCCTGGGGAAATGATTGGATGTTGGGGGGGTTGATGGGAGGGCATGGTAGGAGGGGAGGGAAACGGAGAGGGACTTGGAACTGACTTGTGAAGCAACCTTGTTTCTAATTTAAATTTAAATTTAAAAATGAATAATAAAATTAAAAAAGAAATGAATGTTTAGCTACGATTTCTTGTAATGTGATTATATCAGCAAAAACAGAAGATGTGTAAGAATTATCTTACATGGTTACTGGGATGTGCTTATCAACAAAGTTATGTTTACATTTATTTATTTATTTATTTGTTTGTTTATTTGGGTTTTTGATGAGAACTTGGATAAGGATTCCTCTTAACAATGGTTTCTATTTTTATTGGAATTTTTGCCACTTCAGTCCAATTATATATTGCCCTACTTACTGTTGTTGATCAGGGTTACCACAAGGTTCCTAGTGCCTTTTATTACATTGACTTTTTTTTTAGGTATTTACAATGAGCCCAAGTGCAGACGTGATTCCCCTAACCATGCGATGCTGTTGGTCGGCTATGGCTATGAAGGCAGAGAGTCTGAGGGCAGGAAATATTGGCTGGTGAAGAACAGGTATAAGTTGCTGAAAATTTTTGTATTTTAGGTTTCAAATGGACTTTCTGTTTGTAATTATAGTTTAGGTACAAGTCACAGAAAAAGGGACATTTTCTTTCCTTTCTTGTTTTTCCAGTGTGTGTGTGTGTGTGAGTGTGTGTGCATATGCGTGTGTGTGTGAGTGTGTGTGTGTTGTGTGTGTGTGTGTGTGTGTGTGTGTGTGTATGCAGTGTATGTAGGCCATGCTGATGTCAGTTGTCTGCCTCAGTTCTTCTGCATTGAGAGAGTGTCAATGATCCTAGAGTTTCATATTTTCGCTAGTGTGCTTATCTAGTTTGTTTTAGTTATTCCTTGGCTTCTGCAAATACAGGGTAACTGCAAAAACATCCTAGTTTTTTTGTTTAAAGTTACTTTCATTTGTGGTAAGTGCGTGTCTGTGTGAGAGAATGCTGTGTGTGGGCAGAAGTTCTTGCCGACCAGACAGACACTACATTGCCCACAGCTTCAGTTACAGGGGATTGTGAGCTCACTGCCCTGTGTACTAGGTGGGACCTGTTGTCCTGTGGAAGAACTCCCAGTGCTCCTAGGCACTAAGATATAGTTTCAGCCTCATTTTGGCTTTTGAAATGGAACTTGGACTTAAACTTCATCAGACCTTCGTGATTAGACAGTAAGGCAACTAATATTATATATGAACACAGACTCACTGTTTTCTTGGTAATTAATATAATTTTTGAGTCATTGTTTTTCTATTTTCTCATTGGTTATTTCTGCACAACCCATGGGTGGAAGATGTCCTAATTTCCTCTGCTGTGATTTTTTTACTGTCCTCTGTGAAATAACTTGTGATACTCTGGAATTGATTTTCTGCCTTTTCTGATGTTTTCTACTGAGTTGACCTCTGGCTCAGTGCTCAAATGCAGAGTTATTGTAGTAGTCCACTCTGATGTTTCTTGTTTTTTAAATATGAAACCCGATTTCTTTCAGCCATGGTGATAATTGGGGAGAAAATGGCTACATGAAGATTCCCAGAGATCACTTCAACTACTGTGGAATTGCTTCCTATGCCATGTACCCTACATTGTGAGCTGCCTGGGGATGAGAAGGCAGGGAAGATATTAAGGGCAGCACACACAGAAGAACCCCAGCCTCTTCAGAGTGATCGCCCTCTGCTGAGTGCAGGAGATGCTTGAACCATTGAAAGGCCAGGGCAGGATGTGAAATCTGTGGTTTTTGCTTGCTCTACTAACACATGCCCGGTGCTGTAACTGATGTTCTGCACTCATTTCTGTTAAGACTTCCTGTAGTTGCCTCTGGGTGGTGGTGGTGGAGGTAGCTGTGGTGCACGCCGTTATTCCCACCACTCAGGAGGCAGAGGCAGGTTGCTTAGGAGTTCAAGGCCAGCCTGCTCTATAAAGCTACACAGAGAAAACCTGTCCAAGAAAAAAAAAAGACTTTCTGTAGTGACTTGATTTTAACTTTTTCACTGTACTAAAAAAGACCTTTAAAAATAAAAGTCAAATTCAAAGGTAGATTTTAGTATTTCATTTTGGGAGAGGACCTTTTTTATTATTTTAATGCTCAAACACGGTATTCATCTTGAACTGCGTGTGGTGCTGCTGTTCCAGGAGGAAGAGTTGGCGGCTCCTCTGTCATGGGTGGGCTTCAGTCACTGGATGTCCATTGCATCTAGAGTGTGATTTGTATACAGCATCCCTGCTCCTAAATACTACATGAAACCTCCCCTGGGTTTGATGTTTTTCAGCTGACAGGAATTCACCCTGTTTCATTTCTACACCCCTCTGTGGAGTGTGATGTGACTGTGTCCCCCACCGCATTGTGATAGGCTGTGATGCCACCCTTTTTCCAGCAATCCAATTCCATACTAGTTTGTCTGTGACTGTATTCCCGGAAATCAAGATAACCCAAGTCTGCAATTACAGAACCAATCTTCCAGAATGTTCAGCGCTTCAATGTGCTTGAGTGCTGACCTAGCTTTCAACACAGGCTTTTACCATTCAGGGTCCTAGTCTCTTATTGCCTATGGTTGATAATCCTCAGGCTTAACTATCTGATGCATTCAACTTTGCCTCAGGCATGCACATTCAGAAAAATGTGACACATATAAATTACTACATATGTATTACTTGGTGTGTACCATTTAGAGCTATCTCTGGGTCCAAGCATGTAGGGCAGGTATTAGTATGGACCGTCAGTTCATAACAAATGACCAGCATAAGCAGATCTGCTTTCAGCTTCTAGTGCTTGACTTCAGAGACTGGATATTGGGTGTTGGTAACCTTACTTGCATGGTCATCATGGAGACAGAAGTCCGGGAGTGCTTTTCTGTACATCCAGATTAATTAGGACGTCTGCTTGGCCAGAATTCTCTTTACCCCACAGTTTTTTTTTATCAACGTTGTATCTATTGAGTCTCAGTCTGCTCCTTACTGTAAAATTCACCTATTCTTCTGCGCATGAAAGGAAGCTCCCTCTCCCCTTTTATTGCAGGACTCCATACAAATGAACCCTGCATCTATATCCCACCTTTGGTACAGTCTTCCAAGCAGCGATTTGATAAGGACTGTGTTATCATCCTCCTTAATCAGTAGTTCTTTGATTTTCTTCTTCCCATGTGGCACTAGCAAAGCAGGCATCCTAGTCCAATGGAGTCCACGTTCTTGGTGAGCCTTAATTCTCAGTTCCTATGACTGCAGCAGTGATAGTCTTATTTCTTCTGGCACCTCACGATCCCACAATTGTGGTGGAAAAGCCGATGATGAATGATAGGCAGTGTGGAACTGTGAAGATAATAAAACTCAGCTTTTCTTTCTGGGGCGGGAAGACCTCCCACTGTGTGCTTTTCACCTGCAAAAAACAATAAACATATATTCTACTATATAGGCATGATTGACATTTCCTGTCCATCCATTTTGTCCAGTGGCCAAAAGGTGAGGTCCTATTCCTTTGAAGACTTGCCTTGTGTGAAATGCAGGAAATGCTAAATGCATGTGTATGTAGTCAAGAAAGAACTGGATCCTTTTGGACATTGGCTCCTTCCTTATTAATCCCAGGTCTTTCCACTGGGACTTTTGTGTCCAGGACAATGATTTTTTTTGCCTCAGTGTTACTGTGCTTTTCTGATGAGAAATTAATGGATATCTACCAGGAAAAGTTCTCCCTTTTGTATGTCATGACCTGGTTCAGTTAGGAAAGGAGCCATGAACTCAGAACTCAGAGAGATCCTCTGAGAAGCGACAGTGTCGGAGAGTACCCCTTGTGAGTGCACTTGTGAATATGCTATGCCAAGTAGCTCCCTTATACGGGAGCTTTATGGGACAGAGATTGTGTTGACCAGTACACCCCCAGTAGCTGCTATTGTTCATTTGGATGATCCATGACTTCTCAGTGGGTACACGGAATTGAATTTTGTGGGCACATTGAGCTAATCTGCAATGGACCTTGCCTATATATGGACAGTTAATTGTGTTTGAGACTTTTAGAGTCAATGGCTGTGACAGTGACGGGATTGTACAGAATTGGTGTCTCAGCAGTCTTACTCTTCTGTGATCCATGGTGGTCTTATCTCATTCTTGAAGCAATCATTGGAAGTGTGAAGGTTCCCCTCTTGTTATTGGAAAAAACACAATGAGTTTGTACTTTCCCTTTGCCGGATAAAGCAACTCTTTAACCCAGTGGGGCAAACACCACATTGTGAAATAATTTTTCATCTTGTGCTTCTGGTAGAATCATTCAGGATCCAAAAACCATAGGATTTCATGCCTTTACAACTTTATCACCTATAGCATATTTCTTTTTTCCTGAGAGACTGATGAGACCTTATTTTTCATATTTAAGTTGTTGCACTCCTCTTGCGTTATGAAAAAGTTCTGAATTTATTTAAAGACATTGTATATCATATTTAAAGGATAAGGTTTAAAGTATTCTATTCTGTATTTTTGCCCCAAGAAGGGCTCTTTATAACAGACTTGAATGAGCCCAACGTTCTTTTCTTAATCTTTCAAAATTTAAATTAGATAAAACCTTGCTTCACATGTCAATCCCAGCTCCCTCTGTCTCCCATCTACCCCATCCCCAACAACCTTCCCCAACCCCCCATCCAATCCCCACTCTGCTCCCAGGGAGCATGAGGCCCTCCTTGGGGGATCGCCAAAGTCTGTCATTTCATTTGGGGCAAGGCCTAAGCCCCTGGAATGTGTCCAGGCTGAGAGAGCATCTCTCCATGTGGAATCGGCTCCCAAAGTCCATTCATATGCCATGGATAAACACTGTTCTACTACCTGAGGCCCCATAGAATGCTGAGGACTCCTTACTGACACCCAGATTTAGGCGGTCTGGATCAATCATTACTCTCAGTCATCATTCAGGTGCCCATGGGCTCCCCTTGTTCAGGTCAGTTGTTTCTGTGGGTTTCATCAGCCCGGTTATGATCCTTTTGCTCATCACTCCTCCCTCTTTGGAACTGGGTTTCAGGAGTTCAGTTTGTTGTTTTGCTGTGGGTGTCTGCTTCTGCTTCCATCAGCCACTGGATGAAGGCCCTAGGCATATAAGGTAGTCGTCAATCTCATTATCAGGGAAAGGTATTTAAGGTATCTTCTCCATTATTTCTTAGACTGCCAGTTAGTGCCATCCTTGTAGATCTCTGGAAATCTCCTCAAACCTATAATGACTCTCTATTATGGTATCTCTCATTCTGCTCTGTATTATTCTCACCTTTCCTACTTCCCCATATCCTCCTTTTCCCTCCTCTTCTTCCTCTCTCTTTTGCCCTTTTTCTATGCCCTCCCCCAATGCTTCCAATCAGCACAGGAGATCCTGTTCCTTTCCCCTTCTCCAGGGGACCATGCAGATTTATCTTAGGGTCCTCTGTTTCCCAGACTCTCTGGTGGTGGAATTGTAGGCTGGTGCTCCCCTGCTCCATGTCTAAAATCCATATATGAGTGAAAACATACTATGTTTTTCTTTTTGTGTCTGGGTTTTCTAACTCCGGATATTTTCTTCCAGTGTCATCCATTTGTCTGCAAAATTCAGGATTCCATTTTTTTCCCACTGAGTAGTAAATGTACCACATTTCCTCTATCCAGTCTTCACTTGAGGAGGATCTAGGTTGCTTCCATGTTCTGGCTATTACAAATAATGCTGCTATGAACATAGTGGAACACATGCCCTTGCTGAATGAATGCGCATCTTTTGGGTATATGTCTAAGAGTGGAATTGCTGCATCTTGTGTTAGACTGATTTCCATTTTCCTGAGGAACCTCCATACTGGTTTCCAAAGTGGCCTTATGAGTTTGCACTCCCACCAGCAGTGGAGGAGTGCTCCCCTTTCTCCACATTCTTTCCAGCATAAACTGTCATTGGTGTATTTGATTTTAGCAATTCTGACAGGAATAAGATGGTCTCTTAGAGCTGTTTTGATTTGCATGTCCCAGTTGGATGTTGAGAACTTTCTTAAGTGTCTATCAGCCATTTTACACTGCTCTATGGAGAATTCTCTATTTAGTTCTGTACCCCACTCTTTAATTGTATCTTTTTGTTTTTTGGAGTCTTGCTTCTTGAGTTGTTTGTGAAATTTGGAGATCAGCCCTCTGTCAGATGTGGGGTTAGTGAATATCATTTCCCATTCTGTGGTCTGTCTTTTTGTCTTTTGGACTATGTCCTTTGCCTTACAGAAGCTTCTCCGTTTCAGGAGGTCCCATTTATTAGTCGTCTATCTCAGTGTTTTCAGGAAGCAGTCTCCTGTACCAATTCATTCAAGGGTACCTCCCATTTACTCTTCTAAGTGGTGAGTGTAGCTGGATTTATGTTGAGGTCTTTGATCTACTTGGACTTAAGTTCTGTACAAGGCAATAGACATGCATCTGTCTACACTCTTCTATATGCTAACATCCAGTTATGCCAGCACCATTTGTTGAAGATGCCTTCTTTTTTCTATTGTATATTTTTAGCTTCTTTGTCAAAGACCAGGTATTCATATGTGTATGGGTTAATATTGGGAAGTTCAATTTGATTCCATTGGTCTACCTGTCTATTTTTATGCCAATACCAAGCTTTTTTTCATGACTA